TCAACTGTTCACATTTACTCAATAGAGGACATGCTACACACACTTTTAATATATTGAGAATTCCAGATTGATAAACAATTCAACATGTTCTAAAATATATAATGAAATAGTCTGAATTGATGTACAAGTTGCAAGCGGTCTACTTTAAAAATAAAAGGATTGTGATACATGAAAGTGTCATAAACAAGATGAATTCAGCCTAGAAATTTAAGTAGTAATAGTAGTAGTAGTTCATTGATGTTGCAATGAAGGAAATTTTCTTTTCAAATGTGAAAACCTCAGTGTTCAACAAAAATAAACCAGTGACATGTGAAATTCTATAATTAAGCGGAAATCCCTGAATCGAAATCTACATTGGATTATCATTTCATAGAGTAGTGATTACCTTGATTAGGCATTCAACCTTCAATAACTAATAGCAAAAATAATTGCATAACCAGAAAAGTTTGAATCTTAAACTTATCATATCAATGTAATGCATGAGTGACTTTTGTCATTCCACGGTAAATAACGATCTAAAAATGTATTCAGCATCATTTTAAATTAAACCAGATTCCATTAGAGAAAGAAATTAGGAAAAAGCTCTGAAGGTGGACAGAACACAAATCGTGAAAATCACCTGACAGCGCCACGAGGCAAGCCCTAGCTTGCAACCCTCTAGGCAAAAAGAAAACAGCAAGACCACAGAGCACACTACGCCGACAATTGGAAGTAGATATCAAAAGAATGAACAGCAGTTGGCTAGAACCGGAAAGTAAGACCCAGGACAGTGTAGGATGGAGATTGCTGGTTGATGGTGGCTTATGCTCCATTAAAGGTAACAGGCGTAAGTAAGTAAGTAATATGTATGATCCATATTGAAACTTCATCAGACAGTGATTATTTGGATAAGAACTAATTACATTTTATACAAATAAACAACACTTTACAAGTAGGAAACTAAGCATAAACTGTAAGAAGGACAACATATTATTATTAACAATATAAACTATTCTAACAACTCATTCATTCGGTTTTATTATTATTATTATTAATAATGTGTTGACCAACTCAAATGATATTTAAAAAAAATAATAAACTCAAGAAATAAATCAATTACAACTATTAATCGTTGATAATAAACGAAAAATAAAAATAAAGATAAACTAGCATAATTCATAATATCTTTTAATTATCTATGAACATACACATTCATAACATGATAACCTCTTCATAGTAATGATAAATGAGAGGAATTATCTATATTTACATAAGTGAGAATATGTGTGCACAACATGTAATCGAAAAATTAATTATATCAATGCAGAAAAGACTTATTTAGAATTTTAAATAAAAGAACATGTTATTGTGGAGAATTTGTGATAAACCCCAAAATAAAAGGTGCTTCAAAACGTACACAACCAATTTATTAATCATTAAAACAAATAAAACATTGAATTAAACTAGATTCAGGTTTTAGCAGTTCAACATTTTAGTTTGAAATTTATTCAAATATGGAAACTAAAGCAAAAAATATTGAGGTTACAGATGGAAATTAATTTCCGCTTAAATTAGATGTTTTAATAGTAGTTTGTTATTACAACAACAAAAAATGAATGAACAGTTCATTTGATGAGATACATTTAACTTTAATATTATAGGTTTTAATAGTGATTAGAAAAGAATAACACTCATTCATTCACTAAATAATTGAATATTTCACAAATTTATCAATTAATTAAGTTGGCTAGAACAGGACAGAAATTATATGCCTTCAGTAAATAACAGAGATTCCCAATGTGAAAATTTGAACAACACATATCAGCAAACAATATTTTTTTCATTAGGCTTTACTCTAATATACATGAAGATGTCACAACAATCAAGGCAATTTATGAGTCAATAATCACAACGAAATGAAATAGATTACGTCACTACACATAATAGGCAAAAGTCTATTTATCCACGTTTGACCTACTATTGATAAAACTTTTGTTATCGTATTCCATATTTCTCATACTACTATCAGTACACCTGTCTTCCTACTACCAACTTATACTTTTGCCTATTATGTGTAGTGACGTAGTCTATTTCATTTCATTGTGATTATTGACTCGGATTGGCTTGATCGGTTTAACATTGTCATATAAATATTCATGTATATTAGAGAGTAAAGCCTGATGACGATCTAATCGAAAACAATATTGTTCGCTTATGTGTTGTTCTAATTTTCACAATGAGAATCTTTAATACTCTTAAATCATGTGGGGATCCTGCTGCATTTAAGGCACTCAATGAGTTCTTGAAGTTTAATGCGCGTCTCACAGAAGCCAAAACGAGCTTAGGATTTGCTATTAACTGTATTCAGTCTAACAGATATCCTAAAGTATATTGGAAGTCATTGAGTCGGAACAGAATCTTTCCTGATGCAAAAACTCTTGAAAGACATGCGTCCAATGAAATAGATACGTTGCTACTGATAAAACTTTAGTTATCGTATTTTTTTTCATACTACTCTCAGTACACATGTTTTCCTACTACCAACTTGCACTTTAACCTATTATGTGTAGTGACGTAATCTATTTCATTTCATTGTGATTATTAAATCATGTATTGCCTTGATTGGTTTAACATTTTCATATAAATATTCATGTATATTAGAGAATAAAGCCTGATGGCGATCTAATCGAAAACAGTATTGTTCGCTTATATGTAACATTCTAATCTTCAGTAAAAAAATAGTATATATGAAATTTCACTTATCAAAATATCTGTTTAATTGCTAAATATGATTAGTAGTACTATTCAATGATAATTCATGCTTTTATAATTACATATATTGATATTAAATTTATTTGATCAGCATATCGGTGAATTAAATGGAAATTGGTAATTTTTTTTGAAAATTTCATTGAAATGCTTCAGGTGAAATTTTTTTAAATATACACAGAATAATGTTCGTTAAAAATAACTCTAGCTAAAGTAATCTATATTTAACTATTGAGTTGAATCCCTCTATCATTATTATTCATATTCAAACGATGAGTTGAGTAAAATGGGTTGAGTGAATGAGTTCCCAAGTGGTTAAGTAAGTTTTATTACATTTTAAATATCAAGAATAATTAGGTTTTAACAGAGAAAAAAATATGTTTACTACGAATATATATATATATATATATATATCCATCAATGTGCTAAAGTATCTAAAAGTATGTGTATTTGTATGCAGATAGGCAGGTTATGCGTACCCACCTATCTATCTAGCTACCTAGCCATAAAGCAAAAAAAGAAAAATCAAGTACATCTTTTTGAAAAATGTACATCTAAAATCACTAAACATTAACATGCTAAAATAAAGGATCTGAGTATACGAATATGTACATATTACAAAGGTCAAGATATCGATTTTTTTCTTCATGATTAATAAATCATTGATAAATATCTGTCAGATTTCTTGTTTTTGTTCATTGAAATGAATAGATGAAGAAAAAAAAGAAGAGGCGAGAAAAACAAATCAACCAAATTTTCTAGTTACGATTCATTTGAAATTTGCTTCTTGCTTTTACATAGTATTTTCAATCTACTGTATATATATATTATATATATATATATATATATATATATATATATATATATATGTTTTCACTAATTCGCTCGTCCCTAACCATTTAATGTCACTGGTAGTTACCTTTCTTGGAGTGTTTTATTCTGGTGTCATAAAACAGACACACAAGTATGAAAAGGAGGGGGAAAAGGCAACTGATTAAAGAAGCAACAGAAGCCAGATGAAAATAGTCAAATTGAACGTACTTTTTCGTGAGTTATACAATTAGCTAGATATATTTTCTAAGACAAATTCAATTGATCTGATGAATTCTGTGTTATCTTATAAAATAAAATCATTTATAATTTATGGAAAATCTGTTAAACATGCAAAAGTTAAGTATAATAACACAAGTAACTTGTAAAGTTGGCAAGGGTGTTGACATTAATTATTTATACTAATTTACAAATGATAAGCAAATAAGTGAAGTTTTTATAGATTGAAAGGCGCATATATATTTATTCGTATATGAAACCGGATCAGAATATCTATTAAACATATTTACGGATTCACGTATCTACGTCAAGTAATCTTGCATATCGGCTTTTAATTATTTACATTGGTATGTGAAAACACTTTTGATGTTACAATCATTGTTGATATATAGAGAAATAATAAAACGTATGAGGAATGACGTACAAAATTATGATCGGCAATTCATTGAGATCTCTATCTCATGCTACTATTTCAAAAGACTGCAATAAGACAATAGAAAAACTAAGATTTATAAAAAGTCTGTTTTTGATAGTGTTAAAGCATATGAGCTGAATAATTTTATAATGAAATTACCATTGTCCTTTTAGACAACTTTATGAGTATGCGCTTCGGAAAAGGTTTATATCGACAATACAAGGGTTTTTGGTCAGGGGTCGTATATACCCGTGTTCTTTTGGAACGGACTGAGAGAGCAACAATTCTAATAGGAAATTCGGGGATTACTTGTCAGGATTGTTGAATGCACGTTCCAGAAATGTAATACATATTTGAAAATAAAATATTCGTATTAAGTTATACGAAATATACTATGAATTTATTAATATTCTGTATAAAAAGATTTAAATTTCGATATATATATATATATATCAAGTAAAGACTTCTAAGCCTTATGATAAACAACTTCGAAATATCTGAGAATTTTATTTTGTACAATAATTAATAAACTAATTCAATTAGACGTAGTCTCTGTTATGTAATGTAGATGATTTTATAAAGCTTTATAAAAGTTCTTTTACACAACTCTATATGATATGATGGACCATTGAATAAAAAGCGAACCATAAAAAACAACCATTTAGAAATGAGTTTTATAAAATGAAATATTTGATATTTTCATAGATTTTTTCAAAATGTGAAGCGCATGAAACAAGAAAAATGTAACTATGATATTTATTTAAATTCTATAAGCAGAATGACTTACCAGTAGTTTCATTCAAACCAAATTCTGGTTGTTTAGTAAGCAAACGATAGTATATTACAGCATTATCACCTTCATCTTGGCTAATCGCCTTAAGGCGAGTTAATTTTTCACCTATAGGCGCCAGTTCTGATATTTTTATTCGATGAGCTGATGTATTCACAAATTGAGGAGGTGAATCATTAACATCAAGTAATTTTATGGTAAATGTTGCACTCGATGTAAATGAAGTAGACTGTTCACCTGTACCAGAATGTTGATGTGATCCGTCTGTCACTAGAACAGTTAATGTATGAACACTTTTAACTTCACGATCCAATGGTCGACTGACTCTTAACAAACCAGTATGTGATTCAATACTGAAACTAGAGTCATGAGCTCCAGCAAGACTGTAGACTAATCGATTAGTATCAACTAAATTGAAAAAAGGAACAGTTGAATAACAAGTGAATTATATAGTCCATCAGTAAATTACTAAAAATTTTATATACTTAATCTTTAAAATTTGCAAAAAATAAATACATGCCAATGAATAGATTTCTATTGGTCACTTGATAACCTTCACTAATAGCCAATAGAAAAGATGAACCAATGAGAATAGTTTTTAACAATAAAAGCAATAGATTGAGTAAATTAATTAAAGCCAATTCTACTAACTTGTAACAAACATCTGTGTTGACAAGAAAAAGATTTAACCGACAAATTTATTGTTTAAAATACTGTTTGAAGAATATGGGAATATTCTTTTTTATTGTTTATAAACAGCAAATATTTTACGCTTAAAGAAATCACATCAGGATGAAAAAAAATAAACCTTGTAATAATAAATACAAATGAAAATTCAGACAACATTCAACAAACTCTCGCACTTGCGATCAATAGTCAACCTACTAAAAAACTGTAATAAATCTCACTGAAAAAAAAAGAACATTACTATGAATACCAAGAATCTAATTAAACATAATTTGACCTTAGTTCGGAAGAATTAATGGAAATGAACCGAATTTCTGTAATTTCTAAACTTCAATTTATATATTATTGCGACGAAACATAAGAAACTATTCCGTATAGATTTAGTTTTGTGTCTGAATAATGAAAAATTTTCAATAATTAAATGAAATTTAGTTCAAAGTTACATTTACTTTTCTAATATTTTATGGTTATTTTATGACTAATTTTCCTTTCGGGAAATAACTTAGTTGAAAATGAAAAACGAAAAAATTTTTGAAATAAAATAAGATAAAAATAAAATAGGTGAATCGAGAATAAAAACAGATTAAAATTGAGAACATTTGAAAATAATTCAACATAATATACAATAAAGTTTTCCATATATATATGATATTTATACAAAGACAGAGAGAAAGAGTATTCAAACTGAATGATACTAAATGACAGGTAATTCGTAGTTGATCAACTATTATCTTAGGGTATTCAACAACAGCAACATTTGATAAATATGTGGAACAATGATAAAGCAGTATACACTACATTTAGTGTGATACAAGCAACCGTCATACTCAGATATATACATATTTGTATAAATTAATGTTTTTGTCAACATTCAAGAAAGTGTTTAATTTCAACGATAAGAACTAAACGACTATCAAGGGAATGAGAATGTTTATTTTGATTGATATAGCTGAAAGTGGTTAGAATACTGGTATTGTTGCGAAACAAACCTCAGCAAGCTGTTATCTGTACACGCTATACACCTAAAGTAGGAAATGAATTCATTAAACTAATTGTTCCTCAATGAAATTCTATGTGAGATATAAACTGATTGATTCAATTAAGCACTTTTGAATGTAAAAAATTGATCCAAGAGAGCTGAATTCAAATAGATTTACGTTCTTGTAACATACCTAATCAGAAATGCGATAAATTCATTTTTAAGAACTCAAGTTCCAGTGCGAAACTAAAGCTTCTAAATAGAAATATGATTATCAGTTATAGAGATGTGTGGAGATTTTCAAGTTTATTAACTTTATACCACGCGGTGACTTCAGTTACACAATCACTGAAAACTACAAAATATATAAGAACTGCATCGGCTGCATACTTACGACTCTACTATGGATCGAAATATGAACGGATGAAATTAATGCATTATATATTTGTCTAGCACACATATCGGGTGAACTATAAGGAAACTTAACCAACGAATGAGTGAACATCTCCCAGCATAGTTTTAGGAAGTGTCAGTTAAAAAGAATACGCACTTCTATCTTAGCACACCTGGTTGATAGTGTAGATAAGTCTAAATCTTTTCGGGTGATCTATCGTATACCTCCATCATTTCCTGACGGAGTTCGATCCCGTCTTCTATGCATAGCAGATGCCATAGGAATTCGTACATTTAACCCTAATGTGTTCAGAAGAAATTCGTGACACCCCTATCTCTCCCGTGGCCGGATATGACGTAACTAACGTTAAAATTTCTTAGGTTTAAATTTTATTTTGTTATTATTAGCATTCTTTTCACATCCTGTATTTGTTTGTAATTTTCTGCCACTTTCTGTTTATATCCTTTCTGTCTAATTATGTACACACTTCTTATCACGTAATGGTTTAAGGTTTTGTAATGATTATTTAAAGTCTATTTATCCCCGTTTGACCTACTATTGATAAAAATTTTGTTACCGTATTTTATTTTTCTTACTACTATCGGCACACCTACTGTTATCAACTTTTACTTTTGCCTATTATGTATAGTGACGTAATCAATTTCATTTCATTTTGATTATTGACTCAAATTGCTTTGCATATTAGAGTAAAGCCTAATGACGATCTAACCGAAAACAATATTGTTCGTTTCTATATGTTGTTATAATTTTCACAATGGGAATCTTTAATACACATTTCAAAAGCCGAAAAGTGTAAATGATTTCTGTAAACCGGCTTGTAGTAGTATTTGTCTTTGAAATATTAGCTTCTGATTCACACATTTGTTCTCATACTGTTATCAAACACCTCCGGTTTTTACTTTGCATACAACAGCATATTCATTCTGTCTGACTGACAGAACGAATAAATACTGAAAAAAAACATGTTAACTGATCAAGATCCAAACTGCGGACACTTTTATTTCTCAATCAACTAAAGAGGCATATATTTTGAATTGCATATCGCCGCAATCTTATTCACAATATCAACGACTATGTTGCATAATAGATACAAACTTGTAAACTAACACTTGCTCAATAAAATAATCATTTATTGTATTATTGGGTAATTATTTCCCAATTACAATTCAATGAAATTATACACCTGGTAGGTTTCTTTCACAAAATTGATTACTAATCATGTATGTCATTGTGAATGAATTTCTTACTTAAAGCGGAACAAGAAGGAGAGAAAATAATATGAAACTTAAAAGAAGCAACAAACAGTAGCAGGTAAACACACTGACCACCACCACCACCACCACCAACTGCTTACATCAGTCTTACTATAAAAAAAACAATCACAACCAAAATTATTCACTGTATAAAGAAAAATACAAAGAAGCGATACAGTCATAGTCTGATAGTGTTAATACTTATTATTATTATTATTATTATTATTATTATTATTATTATTGTTATTGAATAGAACCAAACGAAATCCATTGATTAAACTAAATTTTATTTTTAAAAGAAAGATGTGATAAATAGAAATAAGTGTAGTAGTGAAGAAATTATTATTGGAAAGAATAAAAAAAAAAACTTATCGAACTAATAATAAAGTTGATGAAAGATTCATTGAAAAAGGTTAGTAAATCCTTGGGGGTAAAAAAGAAATAAAGAAGAAGAAGAAGAAGAAGGAAACAGTCTAATAATCTGATATTTTAATTAATGTTAAGCTATATATATATATATAAAGTTTAAAATGGCGTATATGTGTACACAATTAGAGATTTGAAAAATTATGCAATCATGAATAAATTTATTTTGCAGAGCAAAACAGTTTGTAAATATAAATAGATAAATAATAAAAAAAGATGGTGAAATATGAAATCGAAAACATGAAAGTATTGGTCGAACACCACAGGTGTGCTATGAAATCTTTACACACATGATAAATGAATAAAATGTTATATATATATATATATATATATATATATATATATATATATATATATATATATATATATATACAGCAGGTAAAACAATCAACGTTGATGACCAGATAAACATGACATTATTCACTGATTCAGTGATAATTTTCAAGTAAATATCGCACTGATACACGACCCTAGTCGTGGCTTAAATAACTCAGTAATGACGTCATTGTGAAACTCGAAAAGCATTGGTCACGTCAACAATTCAGGAATAGCCTAGAGATAGACGCCAACTCTCACGTAACATAGCTCCAGACTTTTCTGCTGACTATCTCCAACAACGTAGAATATAATTATAAGCAGACATGGATATTGGCTAGTAGTGGAATCTAGGAGGCGCGTTTCCTCCTATTTGAGACTTGTCAACTGGGTTGTAACTGCATCCCAGGTTTGATGTTCACTTCAGTCAGCCAGTCAGTCAGATGCAACGTGGAACTTTGTACGTAAGTACATCAGTTCATGTTGCCATACCACATCAGCATAGAGAAGTAATCGTCAATTCAAATCCAATAGTAGAAGAGGTAGTAAGGGAATCAGAAGTAGTCGAAGAGGTTAGGATTAGAAGATACTATTCAAGAAGTATGATTCAGTGAGAAAAGTTTAGAGAGTCGAAACTAGAGGGGTTGAAGAATCCAGAAGATTAGGATTTGAGAGAACACAAAGAATAAATGCACCGGCGCCATTGCGAACGATTTTGAGCCATGTCATTCAAGGTCTCTAACCATCGATTATTATCATCTCGCGGACCCCAACCAGGTAGTCGACAATTACCGACATGGCTCAGTCCACTAGTTAATGACTTCATGGATTTCTGCCATGTTTTGGTTTGGCCGCCCCTAACTTTCTTCCAACCTATTCCTACACTACAAAACAAGGCTCGACGAGGCAGTCGGTGGTTGGGCATACGCAACACATATCCCAAATACCTCAACTGGTGAAGTTTCAATACTTCATCAATTGATCTGCCATTCTTACCTAGCACCCGATTCCTAATAACAGCTTTGCTCACTCGGTTGTCCCACGATATACGAGCAATGCTTCGAAGACACCTATGATCGAAAACCAGTAACCTACGAATATCTTCTACCTGTTCACTTCACGAGTAGTGTTTGGTTCCACTACTAGCCATTACCCCATCTCTGCATATAATGCTTATATAATAGCTATATCAAGGGACACTGCACAGGATGCATGTCTCCCAAATGAGACTGATTAACTGCAATCTTAACTATCGACGAGGAGATTCATGCTACCAATACAAATAAAATGAAACTGTAGTATATTATATATAAACGAATTAATTTTGAGATGGTGGAGAAGATTTGTAGCTCAGGTGGATGATTGTGGTGGTGGTGTTTGGTTCTATGAGCTGGGTGTTTTGGTTCTGGAGCTTTCATTGTTCTTCTGAACAAAATCATCAGCACAAACTTCAGATAGAAGTGAAGCATTCGAATTTCTCCACGTTTGACCTGTAGCTTGTCTGCTAACCTCGATCTTGATTGATTGCTGTTGACCTTAAACCTGTCGTTGTTTGCACCTTTGTTTTGATTGCATTCCCCTTTTGATCTGTTTCTTGATCCTATGTCACCTATGATTTTCCTGATTGGTTGATAAATTGGGTCGAACAACGACAGGTTTAAGGTCAACAGCAACCAATCAAGATCTTTACTTGTAGTGCATTTCACATCGATCATTCACCAAATATGATTAGCTGAATAATAATACCATGATAATTGTTCGTTTCCTCAAAATACTAACACAGATATACACATATATAGTTTGAATCAGTTAACTGATAAAATTATTAGAGTAGCGCTTAAATAAATTACTATTGATTAATTATTTGAAAAATAAAACCAAACTGAATACAAATTTGAAAATGAAAAAGTGAAAATTGAGACGTAAACATGAAATAGTCATATGTAGATTTGAATATTAAATGCCTAATCATTTTGAGATTTGCATATTAATAGAATTCATCAGAGTGAATCAAACCAGACTATGTACTATTTTATTTAACGTTATCATATATAATGTTAGACACCACAAACCTTTGAAGTTACAATGAATTTCCGTAGAACTCACCCGCCTCAAGATACCTAAGAATATTAATCAGTATTACAATTGACACAAAACAAACATTGTCATAATATCTATCTTGTTAGTTTAATAGATATTAAAAATATTACAATGTATATGTATCGAAAACTCGATAAAATTCTGAGTTACTAGAAGTAGGAACACTTGATAATGTAAGGTCAAATACATCACCACCTATAGCTACTAGATATTAGTTTAAAGTCATCATAAACAGATAACTGGAACGAAATATGCCTTCGCTCAATTAGTCTTTTTATAATATTTCCATTTCTATTTAGTTGTGATAATTAATTTGATTGGTTTAATATTTCATGCATATATTATTGCATATCAATCTAAATAAAGACTGATGGTCTAAAGTTCGTTAAAATCAAACACCAAAAATATCAATAAAACTTACTAGAATCCAAATCTCGAGCATTTATTTTTCCTACCAAACTTCCTAGTGGAGCATCTTCAGGTATAGCATTGATTTCAATGGCATCAAATATTGGTTGGTTATCATTGACATCTAAAACGATTACTTTTAAATTAAATGAACAACTAAATCCTTCTGGATCTGTTGCATCGACTATAATCTCATGTTCTTGACTTAATTCAAAATCTAATGATGTATTTAAGGTGACAGTGCCATTATGACTATAAATGGAAAATATGTTTGATTTTTGAAATTTAATGGAATATGTGATTAGAGAATTGTGAGGATCTGCATCATTATCCGTTGCATTTAATGTTGTTAAAATTGTTCCAAGTTTCAAATTTTCTGGTACTTTGATAATACGATCAGGCTAAATAAGAATTAAAATAAAATGAAAACGTTGAACGGTAATATATATATATATATATATATATATATATATATATATATATATATATATATAACCACTGTTTTCTTAAAAATATTGGAAGCTATCGCAATCACATTTCGATGTTCGGATCTCACACTCGATCATCAATCAGTCAGTGAGGTAATTACAGAACATCGTACGTACATACATCAGTTCAAGTCGCCATACCCAAAGTGGTAGAGACAGTAGAAGTATCAGTGGTTGTGAAGATTATGGTTCGAAAATATTATTCAAGAAGTATAATTCAGTGAGATAACTTCAAAAAGAGAAAGACAGAGATGATAAGGATATCAGAAGGTTAGAATTTAAGAGAGCCCAAAGAGTGGGTGCACCTGCACCATTGCAAACGGTTTTGAGCCATGTCATTTAGGGTCTCTAACCATTGACTACCATCATCCTGCGGATCCCTACCAGGCAGTCTACATCGACCATCATGACTCAGCCCGCTTGTCAGTGGACTTTATGGATTTGTGCCATGTTTTGGTTTAGCCACCCCTAGTTTTCTTTCAAACTAATCCTAAACCACAAGAAATCATTCGACGAGGCAGCCGGTGGTTGGGCATTCGTAATACATGTCCCAACCGCCTCAACTGATGAAGCTTCAAAACTTCACCAATATATATATAAGCTATAAATTGTGAGTATAGCAATAAGCAACCGACAAACATCGATTAAACAAAAACCATGTAATAATAATTATATTTCAGAGATTTCGTTTTCAAGAGTCGTGATCAAATTCAGTCGGTAAGATAAGTTAGAAAATGGATATACTTAGCAAACCGAGCCAGATGTCTGACAAAGTTATTAGCAGAAAATAAACATGCATCTTATTTTTCAAAACATTTTAAAATAATTAACATTTTCATGCATGAAAAAAAGACAAAGTGATGAGATGAACACTTACTTGTATACATATTGGGACATTATCATTAACATCTTTCACTGTTACACGTAAAACAAAAAGATCTTGTGTAACAAACTGTCCATCTGATGCTTGAAATTGAAGTATATGAACGGGTGATAGTTCTCTATCTAATGGTTGGCGAAGATATAGAGCACCCGATGGTTGAAGATAAAAAAAGAAACTATTCCCATGAGAATTTCGAGAGGGTAACGCAGATGTGTGCTCATTAACAAGAGTAAACTGAACTTGAGACTGTACATCCTGGTCAGGATCCATTACAGATAACTGATAGATAACCTCCTCTTCTTTAGATGGCCACCAATTTTCCAAAATTTCAATTTCATCTGACAATATTTGACGCTTCCTCAAATCTACTGGTAAAATAAATTCTAATGAATCGTTACTAATTGGTAAAAGTGGCCAATGAGGTGGGTTATCATTTACATCACGCACAAAAATATGTACTCGACTAGTGTTCCAATGACCAACAGCATCTGTAGCAATAACCTAAAATACAGTAAGCAGTCGAAAAAATAGGAAGTCGAATTATGCTACTTATAAATATTTGAGTAGTAAAAGATGTTCACAAAAAGTATATTTATCAAATCAGTGAAAATCACGAACACACTGGAATTTTTACAGAAAAAATGTGTTAAAGGCTTTTTTTACTAGTGTTACATCGCAACGGAAGTTTAAGGTGTGATAACTCTCAGAATGATTTCATAAACTATAATTACTACATAATTAGATCCATATTTTGTCAGTTTCCTGAGCTCTTGATTAACTGCCGTTGTATGATTTTTTTATCCTTAATCTATTGCTAGTTTGTGACCGGTAGACATCACCTTTTCAGAGCAACTGTTGACCTATGCATGTATCATTGTTATTTTCCATTTTATTGGTGTAATTCTGTCAAGTATATTTGCATATAAACCACATATATTTAAAATACATGATTCAACTCGATTACATTGGTGGACTTTAGGACTCAGTGGGGGCAGGAAGAGAATTCTGAATCAATAGGAACTTTGCTATTAACTAGAGTCTAATATTACGTAATCATAGCTTCGTTGGATTTATTTGTGCAGCGTCAAGACTAACCAACAATGGCGAAGCGTAACTTTTTAATACTCACTCTAACTGTTTGCTTGTTTAAAGTGATGTAGTCAAATAACACATAAACTATAAGATTTCTGCACAATTCACGACAAAAAATCACTAATTTTATTGATCATCAAGGAAACTAATTTACCTGAAATACATGTTCTCGATTCAATTCAAAATCTAAAGAAGATTTAAGTGAAATCCAACCTTTTCCATCTATTTTAAATAATTTACGCAGTGTTTGCAAATCTGGATTAAATAAAATCAACTTTTCTAAACGATCAAATTGATCTTGAAAATTTCCACGACTACTGAAACGATCTGAAGTTAAAGTAGATATTGGCCATAAAGAATAAGTAATTATATCTTGTTGATCATCAGTAGTATGATGACCAACTTTATCATCAGTATCATCATCGTCCATAGCTAAAGTTCGAAGGAAGTTTACATGGATTGGATAATCTTCTGGCAAGTTAATATGATATCTAGTAAAGAGAGAGAAAATGAAATCAGAAAAAATTTATGTATACATATATATACACATATTTTAACATCGTAACCATAATAAAAGCTTTCCCAAAAACAGAAAAACAAGGAAAACAGAATAACAGTTAAGAAGGAAAAAAATAGGTTAGTCACTCAATCATTTTGATCATTAGAATTACTCTCTCTCTCTCTCTCTCTCTCTACACATTCAATCACGATCAAACTATGAGAGAAAAAAACAAGATAAAAACGAATAAATGAACGAGAATAATAGTAAAAAAAGAAAAGCAGAAAAAGAAGAGTTTTCCAGTAATAAAATTATAAAATGAATAACATTGCTCATTCTGCTTTTTTGTTGTTGTTCTTGTATAAAATAACCCTCAGGGTATTTTATAATAGTTGAATAATGGAATGGGGTTTGAATGCCAAAACTTAAAATAGACTCTGAAACTAGTTATGCATGGGATATATATATATATATATATATATATATATATATATATATATATATATATATATATTATTAAATTGCGTGTTCCCTAACAGTGAATCATCTAATTTAAAAACTAGACTGTAAGACATCATCATAAAAATTAAGTGGATTATTTTTTCTCTTTTTTGTAAAAATAAAAAATAACAGTGGTTATTTCACAAATCATTTTACTTGTTTTTTTTTCATAATCTTAGTAGGAAATTTGACAAAAATTAATTTATTTGCAACTTAATAAACATAAGAAATCTAAGTGAAAAAAGTCATGAACAATAATAGTAGTAGTCTATACATAGAATAATGACTAGCACGTTAGTTTGAAATTAGTTAAACTATAAGAGGAGAACTGATTTGTGTCATGAAGATTGTTTTTTTTTTCTACTGAGAAATATGATGGCGCTTAAAAAAAGTAAAGAACCAACATTGTGAATGGACGCAGAACCAAACACTGCTTCTTACTAGACAACATAATTTTTATTTGATATGAAAAAAAAAAGAAAGTAGTTAGATTTGACAATCTTACGTTTTTTTTATATATAAATATTACGCAACACAAAAGTTATAATTTTTTATTAGTTTACTCATAAAATTGATGATACGGAACTATCTCACAATAAGAAAAACCAGAATTTTTCACCCTTAGAAATCATGAAGTCAAGTAGCTTATGTCTCTCTCGTTCAGCAATCAAACATCTTTACGTACTGGATGAGTTTATGCTGCGTTACGTAACGACCAACGAGTGAAATGTCAAAATGGATACAGTTGTGTTTATAACTGAGTGAAATATAGTTTACTTACAAAGAACTATTGTCCTCCAGTGTTAGTAAATATTCGAAATTAACTAGCCTTAATGAGAATATGGAATTTTCAAGAAAACTTTGTTATATTGTGCTGAGTTTATAAACTCTCTCATACAACTTATACTCTATAAGCAACGACTGATAGGTTTCATGACATCATGTCTGCTACTGATTTACTGGATAGAATATGCTCTAAGAATTCCTGCTGCAGAGAAGCGTGCTCAAAAAAAAAATTAACTAAACTCACATAAACCATTCCCCCGAAGAAAGAGTATGTAGAACGAAAGCAATCAGGATTATGTTGAAAGATACAAACTAACAGGATGGTCGGGTGGCATTGGTAAATCCCACCACCAAACTATTTTGATAGATAATGATGACAAATCTATGATGAGTATATACCACTTAAATAACTAATCTAAACGTAACCTGTCATTATGCAGTAGAGTATGTACGCACACACATGGAACCCTCAAGGCAAAAGGAAAAGGGGAAGGCCAAGGAACATATTACGCCGAGAAATAGAGAAAGATATGAGAAGAATGAACAAAAATTGGACAAAACTGGAGAAGGAAGCCCAGGACAGAGTTGGTTGGAGAAAACTGGTGGGTGGCCTATGCTCCATTGGGGGTAACAGGCGTAAGTAAGTAATGTACGCACAGAAATAAATGACATTGAATGAAGGTATAGAAGGTATAATCAAGCCAACAAAATACATACATATGATGATATGATTTGAAAGAAATTCCTAAAAGATAGATATTCGACCGTCACGAGATGAAATAGTCTGTTGATTCACAAATTACTGTACAAACAATCAAAATTGTATGAAATGCAAACTATTGAAGTTTGAATCATTCACTATCAGTAAACAATGTCAATTGAAACCCTAGTGAAATTTTCATTGAATTGACAAATATATGTAAACATTTATTATTCAGAAATGGAATTCCATGACCTTATTTCGCATAGGACATAGAATGAATAAGATAGATATAAATAAAAAGGTCAAAGGTCAAAGGCTTTTAGTTCAACTATGTAGAACTCAGTAATACAGAGTGTGGATTTGTGGATGTGACATAAATTTGTCTTGAAGGTCATCATCATGATCATCAATCTTACTAATTAGAAGGGAGAATGGTTTTTCAATGGAAATATTTCTAAAAAATAAATAAATATAACCACTATCAGTTAGGGGTGGGCTAAACTAGAACTCTGCGTATTGTGTGTATGTACTTAAATGGGCAATTCATTCCTGAAAAGTTTGTCATCCATTCAATGTATAATGACAGTATAAAATTTACGTAAGTTGCAATAATAAATGTCAGTATAAAATTGTGAAGAAATGTGTTGGATTTCATTGAAAGTGATATACAAAAACGACATCCATTGATTAAAATGAAATTAAGCCACAACACTTTTCAATAATATTCTTATAGGAATTTATATATACGCATTACTGAGAAATGTTTAAATAAGAAAAATATGAAACTGCAGATTAGAAGTTAGATGAAGTAGAGATCCGATGGATTGTTCCTTTTTACTAGTTATTCAATGCAAAGATGATTATTCAGTGATCAAAACTTTTCTTGTTTCTATCAGCTTCAGACTTTTTAGGCAGCCGAGTAGTAGTACCATTAGCTTTCATTGAAAATTTGAGACTAAAACATAAACTATATAAACTTATATTTCATGAATAATATAAGTTGTGTTACATTAAATTAAACTAGTTTTCATCAGGGGAAGTGTAATTCATGAAGAAAGCTATCTTTATCTGTACTGACTGCTTGAATAATATTCCCATTGATATTTACGACTGCCAATGATCAATCTCTTTGATGTATATGTGAATCCTGCACGGATAGCTTCGGTTTCGGTTGTTAATAATATCCTTCTATTGGTTAACCAATTAACGAAATACACATGTTAATATGAATATGAATATTTATTTTACTCAACAGGAGATTCCAGAGGAACAACTTACACTGGTGAATCAAAGTATGGTGTACAATCATTGACATTAATTAATTCAATGGTTAACTTTGTATGCATAATAATTGTAGGCATAGATGCCGTAGCATAGTGTAATTCAATATTCAATTCATACACTGGCTGAATTTCAAAATTCAACGGTTTCATTGAAAATATCTGACCCGTTTCAGAGTCAATTCTAAAAAGAGTTTGTTCATGTTGTTGCTGTTGTTGTGTTGGTGGCGGCGGCGGCAGCGGTGATACACCAGTTAAATGCCATGATGATCGACCACTCAAATTAGCCGGTTTAACATCACATGCACCGACTTGACGTTCAAGTGTAAAATCATCCTAAATAAATAGATAAATTGTAACAGAATATGAATTATTCATCAAGCTAAACATATCATGTTATAAATACTAACAAATTATAATGTGAAAAAATTTTTTTCATTTTTGTAAGCTTCATTTTAAAATTCTGAAAAATATTCGATATTTTGTGTTTTTTAATTGCAAGTTAATTAAAAAAAAATATGTCTATTTTAATTATAGTGAGTGAAAACACGCAATCAACAGAAAATTCATTGGTTTTTAATAAAAAAAAAATAAGTAAACGTAGCATTGCAGGGTTGTCTAATGATTTGAAATATATAATAAAGCTGTTTATACAAAGCAATTTTATCTTTTTACACCTTAAAGTGCTTTCAAATCATCTGTAAATTTATATATATAATCCCAACTTTTTTACAATAAGAATATCTACACATTTTGTTGTGCTGTCAACAACAACAAAAATCACAAAAAAATTTCCCACCATAAAATTATTTCATCATCTCTCTGAAACTGTGGTTTTATGGCAGGCTCTATGCATTCATATTGACTTGCTTACATACAATTAACAAACTCGTTGAAATCTATTCATAGCAAAAACTTTTCTAAGCTTAGTTGAATAGTTTTAAAGTAGTTGAGATGGACAGCTGAATGTATGGAAGGAAATGGTGCTTGTAAACTAGTGAACGGTTAACGTTAACAGTAACTTTGATTTTAAACTCTGTAAGCTGGTTAGAGATTGTTTAAGACAATGACGAAATACATTGAATAATCGTTTAGTATCGAGTTACTTTGTGAAATCTATTTGTAATCGATAATTTGGTTTCTTTCTTGTTACCATTTTCTTAATTAAACTTCTTAATTACAATGACAGAGATTTTTACAAATATGTATTACCTCACAAACATTTGAGTTCTTTCACGTTTAATCTGATTAAGCTCTTTCGATTAACCTATTTCACAAACAGTTATCTGTATGACATCAACTTATTTGTATCAGTTTGCTTGTATTATTTTTGCGTTTGTATGAGCAGGTATGATTGAGTATTGCTTACCGCCTACGCGCATATTCATTCTATTCGTTTTAATGTTAACCTCTTACATAATCCGATGACTCATTCATTTTCCTATGTATGTTTATGTACATTTTAATCCTATACTTGCATAAACTTAATGAGATCTAATACTCTGTGGGGATGTGGCTCCATCAGTTCTGTAGCGGTCGATATTCGACATATTCCTATACTTTATCTACTGCTTATCCTGATAGCCGTTACTAGATAAAACGCCCAACGGTGTATAAATCACAAGACGAATACAAAGCGTTGAATACGCTCATTATCGCACCACAAACAGACCATCGAAACCACAGGTTCACGAAGCAAAATGATATACGGATGTCGAAGAGCAAGTGAGTGAGTGAGCGAGTTAGAGGATCCATGAATATGATTAAAATGTTCATAAATAGACATAAGAAAATGAATGAGTCATTGAATTATTTAAGAGGCTAAGATTAAAGAGAATAAAATGAATATCTACGTAGGTGAACAGACCCAAGTGTATGTATTATACTAAAACGGCTTTCCCCTGCAAGCAACGATACAAAAGTGTCTGTGCTTGAGAAGAAAAATTAATGAATTTAACAGATCAAAAAATATAGAGATTTTCAAAATTAAGATGTAAGATGATAGAATTATTGTTTAAGTCATTACAAATACGCCTAAGCTTGAGTTCGTTTACGTCTGTGAGGCTAGATAAAGTAATAATGAAAGATCAAAAGAATACGGTAATGCTTTTAGAAGTCTATGCACATTGACATTGGAATATACAAGATATGTCGAATATACTACTAGATAAGTTAATTTTCGATGTGCATATTCGAAAAGGTGGAAGAAATTATAAATTCGAAATCGTTGCGGCCATTTAACTCTTCGACCATATCAGGCCGCTACTGGATCCTCTACGTTTTTCTTCATCGATGGCGTTGATGATTGGAACACCCGTTTCGGTGATTCGACAGTTTTAGAAGGATCTGCATTTACTGACTGTTCATCAACTTCGATAAAAGTTTGTTTGACCCATCCGATGCTAATTACACCTTTTTTTCCAGCTTTATCTAACGTAATGGTTGTATCGTTTCTTCTAATCACTTTAAATGGACCATCGTGGGTCGGTTATAAGGGATGCTGCACATTATCCCTTCTGATAAACACATTGGTGCTGACGCTCAGTTGCTTTGGTGTGTACACCCGGGGTTGATTTTGTGCGAATACATTTGATTCCGACGAGCTCTGTGAGTTGATGGAAGAGGCGACTTTCGAAATGAGCACCTCTATCAGTTGTAATGTTAGCAGGCACTCCATAATAAGAAACCCAATGATCCACTAGAGTTTCGTCTTTCATTGTTCACAGGAGGGCACGACGCTTATTTCCGCCCTTGTGTCTATTAAGAATTTCTTTCCTGGACGCGAAATAAATGACTGTTTCTAGGAGCTATGCCAGCTATGACAGCCGTTACCGACAACCGACAGAATCCTTACCCTATGGTACTAATTTTAAATCTGCATTGTAGTCTACGTTTCCGAGCTCTATCGCCGTACGTGACCGCAGTGCCCGAAAGACAACCGTTTGAAACTGGTCGGGCACCGTCTTTTTATAGGAAGTTTTGACGTAATAGCTCCACTTTTTGAAAGGACTTAAGGCTAGAGACGGAACTTCATGGGGTGAGGTGAGGTGTGATATTGTTAGAGTCGACCCTTTCTAGCCCCTAATTCTATTGTGAGAAGGTGGCATTGCTGCAGATGCTGGTTGTCCGACAGAAACACCTTACTGCTGTCACACACCTCTACAGTCAACAGTATGACATCACTTTCAGATCTTACCGTTCCCGAACCGACCTGCTTAATATGATGGGACCTAAAGGAACAAATGTTCCAGCCAATATAGCTTGGTTGGGTCATCACGATAGGTAAGCTTGACCACCACGTCGAGGTAGCAACTACGGTTGGGAAAAGATATCAGAAGCTTGGAAATAAGTGAATTAAACATGTAAAGATTATTTATAAAGGGATTAAATATGAAGACTAAGCAATAATACTGAAGATTTTGGAAATAAAATGCAATGAAAACATCTGATCCATTCAAACCGAATGTAGGCGGAGATTTACGAACTATGGTGTAGTAAAATACTTCATCCTTGAAACAAGTTAAAAGTACAAGCCTAACTTGAATAAAATAAACCTTACTTAACCATACATTAAAAAATGTTTTATAAATGTCTGACAAAACAATTTAGTACAACTGAGTTCTTTCATGACAACAACGAAACAAATTTAAATGCATTTTCCAAAATAAGAAACTATAAAGAAAACTGGATAGGATGAAATATTCCATTTGGTATTCACTAATTAAAACTTACCTCTAACAATGGTTGCGATGTACACGAAATCTCTGGTAGAACAATAGACGACTGATTAGAAAATTGTATATGAATTTGTACAGGATGAGAACATAGTATGACAGAATCTGAATAGACAGGCGAATCACATGCTTCAATCAATAATTGTTCTTCACTACCATCAACAGTAGATGGTGATAATCTTTCATTCAATAAAAGTACACCAGTAGTTGAATCAATTGAAAATCGTTTTGATTGAAATAACTCATTCGATGGTGAATTAATGATTCGATACACAAGTTGGGCATTTTCTTCAATATCTGCATCATACGCTTTCAATTGTAAAGGTAAAGTCACTGGGAAATTGTCCACTTCAGATGGATTATACATGAATGGTAATAGAGTCAGCTGAAATGAGAATTTTTACAGGGATGAACAACGGGCGATGTAGTTTTAAAAACAAAAACAGTGTGATAAACATTATTTTTTTCAAAAATATACTCAAGTGAAATTTAACTATCGGGAGCTTTTTATTATCTTATTTTCAAAGAAATTACTGATTCATTGTCTAAGAAAAATAGACATTAAAAGGGTCAATAATTTATTTTCTTAACTCACTCATAATAATCTTAGTTATTTATTATTAGAAAGGCATAGAAAATTATATAAACAACAAAATATAGACGACAAAAAAAAAACAAAACAAAACAAAATTAGAAAAAAGTGAAATAAAATTAATGTGAGACTGAAAAAAACAAAATTTTCACACCCTTATGATTATAACGTTGCTGCTGCTGATGATGATGATGATGATGAATGGTCTGATTGATGCATAAAATCTCTATCAAATTCCAAAAGAGAACAGTCGACTACATAAATCTAAGGCGTTAGCACGTACAAAAACACACACACACAGAAGCAAAGACAAACATACATACATACATACATTAGGGAAAAGTTAACTAGACTAATTTATTTTGTCAGTAACAACTAAGATATCATTTTCTGATTATAAATTGAGACATATTTACTGATGCAAAGATTGAATGATAAAAGTAACAAAAAGAATTTTAATGCAAGGAGATATTCTATTGGTGTATATTAATAATAATTGTAAGAATACTGATTATAACTGATTGTAGTGTGTAGTAGTGTGTGGATAGTGACAATAGTAGGGATCTAAATCAATAATAGTAATAATAATCATAATCAAGCTGACAGTAAGGCTAAAGACTTATCAATGATTTCTAAATGATGATCACCTTATAACAGACAATCAGTAAACCAGTCAGTTACAACGTGAAACTTGGTATGTACGTACTTCAGTTGCGATTAGCATAGAGACACGATTGTCAGTTTAAATTCCATAGTGGGAGAGATAGTAGAAGTATCACTGGTAATGCAGAAGATTACCATTCTAAGAAATTATTCAAGAAGTATAATTCAGTGAAATAAATTCAAAAAGAGATAGACAGAAGTGATGAGGAATTCAGAAGATGAGAATTTGAGAAAACACAAAGAGAGGATGCACCTTATAACAAGTAATAAATGAAGTTTGACATTAGAACGATTGGTTTAAAGTTCATCATCTTTATAGTATAGTGAAGAACAGTCAACCAATACAATCAGAATTTCAATGGTTCTGATATATTACATAAATTAATGATAGTCATTTCAGTCATTCATTCAGTCAACAACAACATAGAACTTTGTACGTACGTACATCAGTTCAAGTTGTCATACAACAAAAGGACAGAGATGCAATCAACACTTAAAATCCCATAGTAATAGAGGTAGTAGAAGTAATAGCAGTAATCGGAAAGATTAGGGTTCGAAGATATTATTTAAGAAGTAGAATCTACTGAAATAAACAAGATAAAAGTGATGAGGAGTTCAGAAGGTTACGATTTGAGAGAACACAAAGAATGTATGCATCTGCACCATTGCAAACGGTTTTGGGCCGTGTCATTCGGGGTCTCTAACCATCGATTACTATCATCTCACGGACCCCAGCCAGATAGTCTACATCTACACCGACGTGACTCAGTCCACTTGTCAGAGACTTCATGGATTTCGGCCATGGTTTGGTTTGGCCACCCCTAGCTTTCTTCCAACCTATTCCTACATCGCAAAACAAAGCTCGACGAGGCAGTTGGTGGTGGTTAGGCATGCATACCACATGTCCCAACCACCTCAACTAATGAAGTTTCATAGAAAAAAGCAAAGAAAAAAAAATGACATGCATACGGGATTACTTGATAGAATCTACTAAAAAGAAAAAAAGAGAAAAATGTAATCGGCAAACATACACATTCCCATAGTCAAATATTTTCAATAATTATCATCCACAATGAATTGAATACGAGTCGATTTACTTGATATTATAATAAATAAAGTGATATGATATTAATTATTTAATCTAAATATTATGGATAATACTATATATATATATATATATATATACAGTATAAATTATACATTCTATAAGAAAATATATCTAGTTAACAGATTCTTCTTTTTTGTTAAGAAAAAAAACGAAACAATATTACATGTTAAGTTACTGCAATCCAATACATCTTGACAAATGAATCATTTTTGTACATTTTTTTTTGCTTACATTATTTAAATGAAGAGAAAATTCTCTTCACCTCAGCATGATAAATTAGACCGACTATTTGATCATTTAAAATATGAATATATATATATATATATATTATATGATAAATTTCATAATACAACACAATATAACATTTTGGGTAAAACAGTAAAAGAGAAAATTTTTTTTTACAATTGATGAAATATTTTGCAAATTGTAATATTGAATAATATTTTTTTATAGTTCAAATCACAGATTGACTATTGAACAATATATCTCAGATTGCAGTTAAACTATTAGAACTGGAATCGAATAATTCCAATTTCAGTTATCTGATGATAAAAAACAATTCAACGATCATTCAACATCGTCATCATCAGTGATATCTATTTGTCGGGGACATTAGATCCTCAGTACTCACTTGGAAAAAGTCTTAATTTTGATTCTTCTTATGTTTTCCCGCATAAGTCGCTTAGTTGACCTTGAGATTGCGTTTCCCAATAGGGAAGTCTTTGAGCGTTACTGGTTGATGGATTGTTTTAATACGCTATGTTGTGGCTCTCCCAAGGGTATTGTATAAATAAGCTTGATTTGTGTACTTAGGAACCTCGTATTTTCAGGGTGCTTGTAGCATATACTTTCTACGCCTTATCAAGACTTCTTGATATAGTTAGTCGAGCCGGGGACGAACGGATTGGAATAGCCGATCGTGTCACTGTATCGTTGCTTTGGTTCTATTACCGAATAAAGTGAACTGGTAATACCATTCAAGCATATCCATTGGAGAGCATATCATTATTTGACTCTCAAAATAGTTAAAATTTCAATAATCAGACACGATTTCTTATTCGAACTTCAAGAATTTATCTAAATGTTTATCAGCAGTGAATAAGCGATTAAACAGATTCGGTTAACTATATAGGACATATTTCTATTTCATTATAGCTATCTATCATCATAAACATTTAGTACAATATCAAATACTTATAAAAAGTATTGAGCAAACAAAAGCATCTGTTGGAGGGTGGGAGACAAATAAAACAAAGTGTAAATTATCTACCAATTCTGTAATATACTACTAATTACATCAATAAATATTTTGTTGAATTAACTCTACCATAAATATAATTGTTTATTTATTGGTTACAATAAATTTGTATAATTAAAACAAACAAGTGTATTATATTCTGTTAAATATACACTTTAAATTTCAAATTAAAATTAACTAAATGATTATAACACAAGTTTTTGTAACAAATAAAATAAAAATAACAACTTACTTCATATTTGTTTTGTGCAAATATTGGTCGATTATCATTAATATCTTTTACAGAAATATCTAATTTCATAAAATCCATTAGGCCACCACCATCGGTAGCTTGAATTAATAAACTATATTGATTTTTCACTTCTCTATCCAATGATCGAGTCAACCGAACAGTACCTATGTGTTTTTAGATGATACAAATAGGCAGGTGTTATTATTATTATTATTATTATTATTATTAGGATGAGAGTTCAAAATGGATTATTAACTGTGAACAGTGTTAGGATGAGCCAACACAACTGCCAACTAGATATGCACATATTAATTGATAATTTTATGCAGTGTTGAAAGAATGACATTAGAATAGAGCAGAAATATTCAATAATTATAATGACCGAGAAAGAAAATAAATCCCTAGATCAATCAGAGTTAGACATTAACACCGTTGGATGCCGGCCCAGTGGTCCGATGGTAAGGCGTTCGCCTACAATGCCAAAGGTCCCGGGTTCGAATCCTGCGAGGAGCAGGAGTCGTGGATGCGCACTGCTGAGGAGTCCCATACTAGAACGAAACGGCCGTCCAGTGCTTCCAGGTTTCTAATGGTGGTCTAACAATGATGATTGATTAATGATTTCAAATGTGTAAAAAATAAACAGTCAGTAAATAGTTAGTAATAGGAAAAAAATAATCCAAACCAGTTTGTGCCTATTGCATTTAAGTTGAGTTTCAGTAGTTAAATTGTCTGATAGAACAAAAAAAATAATAATAATTTTAATTTATTTAAGGATAATAATTATTATTATTCGGATAATTCTATACCTCTGGGACATGATGATCTAGGAGAATGATAAAGAATTTACGCATATCTAGTTGACACATCCCCTAAATAGGATTTGATACTATTTCTAGCCACAATGGAAATCTACTAGAAAAAAGACCTCATTGTTCAGTGATTTTTTTTTAGTATGCTTTTCTATATCAGTGTTAATGTAGAGATGTGTCAGTCACTTTATTTGGATGTTAGCTTACATATATCCAATATTATCCTTTTATCAATTATGTAAAACTGTAGGTAGTCTTTTTCATCTACTTATCTAACCACCTTCTATGTGTAATCATTTCCCCCCGTATTTTGTTGTGATTGAAAAATGCTATCACACATGATTAATACTATTATTGTCATTATTTTGAGGCAGTCTTTTATTATGCGGTTCATTGATAGGTTTACGCATTAGAAAATACGTCATAAATTTGATATTTTTTTGTGGAAATCCACGTTGTTATTATACTTAATCGCATAAAAATAAAATATTGAATGTTTATTCACTTAACGTATTTATCTTAACATGTTTTGTTAATATTTTCGCATAATTTTGTAGGCTTAGCCACCGTTATTTATTGGTTTACAATTATGAATTGAATTTATTTTTGTGTTGAAACAGGTGGATAGTATTTTTTTTTAGTCCTAACCTTTCCGACTACTGCTAACACCTATACTACCTCTACTACTACTATTGGATTTGAATTGACAATTACATTTCTGTGCTAATGTGGTATGACAACATGAACTGATGTACGTACGTACGTACGTAGTTCTACGTTGCTATTGATTGATTGATTGTGTGAATGTATATAACTTTACTGAACAACCGTTGTACGTATTCTTATATCGATGACTATTCGTTTTTAATAATATGTGTATGATGCAAATATGTTTATGTATGTTCTCATGAGAACCGGTAGACATTTGCCAAACAGAAACCTGTTATAATGCAAGCGCAGTACTACGATGTCGTATCATGTCGCACTATTAATTCATGTTCAATGTAGAAGGGAAATGTAGCAAATAATTTGTCTATATCTCTAAAGTATAATGTGTATATGTGGTGTAGCTAACACACGTATAATATCAAGGTTAAAAGTTATGTTCTACGCAGAATATAATTCACTTCATACAAGTTTGCAGTCTCAGAGATTAAGGTGATTGTTTCAGACACTAGATATCCTTAATTACCACTGGTTCTAACCTGTGATCCAAGTACAAGTTAAAAGGAACCATATTAAAGCTATGTGTGCTAAAATGATGACATTCTTTCTTGACTAGAATCCCCAAAGCTTATAAACCTGTAAGACCACATGTATAAACTTCAACACTCGTTCTTTATTGCTATTCAAATATCTCATTACTATTGCCCAATGAGGAGAGCTCAGTTTTTTGTGTTAATTGTTCGAAGACAAAAACTCTGGACTAAACATATAGTGCACTACTTTCGCACCTCAAAATGTATGGTTTCTTAAAAAATGGGCGTTGTTGGACAATCCCTAACTAGAATGAAACAACTATCCAGTTCTTATTGATTTTCAATGCTGACACATTTTCATAAATTTTAATGGGAACCATCTGTGTGAATAGGAATGTGGCCAAATTTATTAAACCAGTATATAGGCTATTATATAATAAGTCTAACAACTATAGGATTAAGCCTACAAAATTATGCGAAAATATTAACAAAACATGTTAAGATAAATTCGTTAAGTGAATAAACATTCAATATTTTATTTTTATGCGATTAAGTATAATAACAATGTGGATATCAAATTTATGACGTATTTTCTAATTAGTAAACTTATCAATGAACCATATATTAAAAGACTGCCTCAATATAATAATAATAGTATTAATCATGTGTGATAGCATTTTTCAATCACAACAAAATACGGGGGGAAATGATTACACATAGAAGGTGGTTAGATAAGTAAATGAAAAAGACTACCTACAGTTTTACATAATTGATAAAAAGATAATATTGGATGTATGTAAGCTAACATCCAAATAAAGTGACCGACACATCTACATTCACATTGAACAACTAAGCAACCAATTAAACACAACTTTAATTTGAATAAAAATGAATAAAAGAGTGAGGCTTTTTTCATTCTTACCATCATTAGGATCTATGCTGAACCATTGATGTTTATCACCACCAGTTATATTGTAGACAATTTGTCCATATTGACCACGATCCATATCTTTAGCTGGTTGAATACGATTAACAATGGATCCAACAGTTGTAAGTTCTGATATTTCCCACCATTCATATTTAGGCAAATCAAATCTTGGTGGATTCCAATTATAAGGATCTAAATTAACTAGGATATCACATGTACTTGAATGTAGGCCATCAGTCACTTCAACCTGTATGTGGAACAAGAAGAAATAAGAATGATTTTAAAAAAATCAAATTATTGATGAATTGTGATCGATAATTCATTCTTTTCTATCAAGGTTACTGATTAGAAAGTGTATTGCGACTTACTTATAACAAAAAGAGCGAATCATAGTGAATTGAATACACTGATCGAATTCATGATTTTAGTAGGAAATAACCTATCTATAGCATAATATGTTCACTTTAGTTGATTAACACTAAGAAAAGTATCTAACATACTAAAGAAACTTATCATTCTCTTGAAAATCAATCCAATATCATTTGGTCGCAAAAATTAAACAACAGATTTAAAAGGCTTCAGATAAAATTATAAAGTATAAAGCTATATTTACTATGTTTGCTTTTGATATAAAACATTTGGGGGGTTTTTCCAGCTAAAAAAATCACAAAGGAATATTGACTGATGAATGAAACATCACACATTATTCATGTATATGACAGACTTAATATCTATATGAAATACATTACGTAATTCAACAAGAAACCTATATCATCAGCGTGAAATATAGTCCAAATCAAAACAATTGACACCTTTCCTATTGTGTTGTCAAAAGAAATAAATAAATAAAAATTTTGTAAAACTATCAATTAATAAAAATAACAAAGGGGTCACATAATTACACACACACACATACACACATTTACAAACTGACACACAAAATTGTCATATCAGAATGAAATCAAGGTCAACAGACGGCGACTAAAAGCATTTCGAAAATAGACAAAAATCAATTTCAATTGAATGTAAGAAAATGAGAAAGTAGGGAAAGAACATGGTCTTTTTCAGTAAAACAATAAAAAAGAAAAATTTAATAGCAGACAAACAAAAACAGTTAGTGTGACTCACTTGAAAAAAAAATGAGTCAAAATCAAGAGGTAATTAACAATGAGAAGTAAATATTGTTAAAACATAAAACTTAATGATCATAGGATAAGCATAACAAAGTCAACATATATTTGATAAACAATCAATGAAACACTAGACACTATCCTATGTTAAGTTGTCTAGACATAAGTGTCTGTTGAAACCAACCAAGTAGGTTTATCATCACTAAAAAAACGAATAAAAGCAAACAATGATTGATCCAAATTTCATGTTTATTGGAAATTGTTCGATGAGTATATCATTTTCATCGAGAAAATCAAAATTTACTCAAAAATCTGGAACACACGCTATTAGGAGACACTTAGTTACATGAACATAATCATGCCTATTATCGACTATCTATTTCCCAAAAAAATAAACCTTTTACACCGAAAATATTACAGAAATTCGACGTAGTGCATTTGAAATATATGTATGTAATAATTTTTGAATTAATTTCAGAATGGAATTAAATAATAAAAAAAAACATAACTTACTTTAATTTTAATTTGATCTAACGAAAAAATAGAATGAAATTCTAATGAATTAATATGATTTGAAGTTGTAATTAATTGTTCATTAATACTATTACTATTACTACTACTACTACTAGTAGTAGTAGTAGTTATAGGTTTACCATAAATATTCACTACAGGTATCCAACGTAATACACCATCAAATTGATTAAGATGAAAATAAAATGTTTCATTTTGATTAATTGGTATAATACGATATGAAAGTGTATCATTTATATCTGGATCTGTAGCGGATAATTTTAAAATTATGGTACCAATAGGTGAATGTTCATTTAACGTAACATGATAAATACATTTTGATGGAATATCATCATCAACTTGTTGATTAAATAAGGCATTTTCGATTGATATTGGTTGAAATGAATTAAAGAATGGTGGATTATCATTGAAATCTGTGATTTGAATCTAAAAATAGAAAATAAATCGATACAATTCAAATAAACTCTAATCCAAGATCGATAATAAAATTAATTTATCTAAATATGTGATATATTGAAGTGAGATTATAATGCATTTAAAGTAGTTACATGTCATTATGTATCCGTTAAGTGTATTGAGCTCATTTTCATACAATAAATATATACAGTTTAATAATATTAAACAACTAATCAGCTTGTATCTAGCGCGTTCCAATTGACCTTTCCCAACAAATTCACTATTGATCTCAGCAAACCACCCAAGAAACCTACTGTACACCTTCCCTATTTGAACTCTCCTATTGAAAATATGACTGTATCATACTGTTTTTGTCAGTGACAGGGTGTAAATGTGCTATTCGAAACTGACTCTTATACTTAATTTAACTGCAATAACATTTACAGTAAATGTGAAAGCATTTGTGACAATTTGATCTAGCCTGTAAATTGGCATACCTCTTGTAACGTAGTTATTTGAGAATAAATATTATTATTATTATTATAGACAATAAGCAAGAATCGGTAAAGTTGTTGAATAATAATAATAAGATAATTTATAACTTCAAATGATACAAAACAGTACAAAGCTGAAATACGCTTCATTTTATGAACAATTTATTTCCCAATTATATATATTTAAACAGTACTAGAGAGACGACCGTCAAACTCTTGTGATTGAACAATGAAAAAAAACTTCACAGATATATTCTCCATTACCATTACTACTACTACTACTGGGGTGCGTGCCACTTATAAGTAGTATATGACGCGAGTGTAAACGTAATGTCTGGTAGCAGAAGATAGGGGAAGATCAAGAAAGAAGAGTGAGAACACAATGGGATTTGTATGAAAGGCATGAACAGTGAAATGTCAGATAATGGATTGATGTTTTGCAACAGGAACAGTCCAGTTCGATATGATGGATTGATATTTTGCAAATTAACGATTTACGATATGGTTTTTCTATTTTACCAATTAAGTCTGTAATTTGCGATAAATATAATTCGGTTGCCCTCACCTGTGTTCTCCTTCACTACACTACTGCTGTAGGATATGAATTGACGATTCGATCTCTCAGTACTAATTTGATGTGCCAACTTGAACTGATATATGTAAGTATACAAGTACGAAGTTCTACGTTGTAGCTTACTGACTAACTGACTGACAGACAGATATCAAGTATATTCAGGTAAATGAAACCAAATGAGTGAGAAAATTGGAATAAACTTAGAGAGATAACATGATCCGAATGAATTGAAAAAGCAAGACAAATTTAAACAAATTATATTAACTTAAAAGATATTCTTTGCGTAAACTTTATGCACTATTGATTAGAGTTCAAAAGAATTTACGAAAACGAATAGAGACAATGATACAACAGTGATAATTAACTTACACGAAGAGGTACACGTGTCACTAGTGAATTCAATGCTTGATCAGAAGCAACAGCCCATAAGAAATAGTCGCGTACACTTTCAAAATCCAAGGATTTCGCAACAATGACGTCACCAGTTTCAGGATCACATTTAAAATATGAAAGTTCATCCGAGTTCGATGATAATGGATTATGTGATTCTAAATGGTATTTTATCTAAAGGAAAAAATATATACATTCAATCAAATTTTTTATTGAGGATAATACTCATCTCTTAATATGCATCAAATTGAATGCAGTAAACAATGAAAATTAGTCTCTAATCGATAACAATGAATTTAGAGGTTGAAATTTCGAAATAGGATATTTGAAAGCTCTTTGTTTTTGTTATTCAGTATTATTTAATCTATTCTAAAACGTTTAAAATCAAAGATAACGAATGAAAGTAACCGAACAATTAGAAAAAGAAAGAAAAAAAATATACACTTTTTCTATGCTGTAACCTCATTCAAAATCACAATGAAGCCATTCTTATTGACAAATATTTGTCAAGATAAACAAATATGAACATGTAGAAGGAAAATACTAAGGAAAAAACAACAACTCTAAATGGGTGCATTGATTGATTTTTTTCGGAAAACATTTGTTTGTAACTTTTATTTACAAAAATATATACGTATTTTTTTTCGCTCATTCATCCTGATAAGGATGTAGTAAAGTAACAATCATTTAATGATAAATATCATATCTACAAGAAAAAAGATTGATAAAGAAAGACTTCGAAAATCAACTTTAAAAAAACACTCATATAGAATCTATTTCGATGTTGTATTGGGCACATTTTTAACTGATTACAGAATAACGCTAAAATAACGATTATTCAATTATCTGCTGAAGAGAGAGACAGAGAGAGAATAAAGATAATTTTTAAGTGAAAACATCATTCAACAGAGTTACGCATTAAAAGAGAAGAGAAGAGAAGAGAAAAAAGGCATGAGTAAATCAGTAGGCAAATGAATAAATCGAGGTGATAACATTATCATCATATATGAAAAAGATATGATGTTTATCGTTTCACTTCAATATTTTGATGAAAAACAACAATCTGAACAAAAAGAATTGTTAAAAAATAATTTACCCAGAATTAATAAAGATTATTTAAAAAAAAACAAAAAACAAAATAGGATTACGTGTACTTTATTCATTACATAATTAACTATGTCATGATTAATACTAAAGGTCATACGATAATCTTTATATGCATGAGATAATCTAATCTAATCTAATCCATGGAGTGGAAAATCCATAAATCTACTCTGTTATTTAATATTGTTTTAAACAATCTAGTTTAGATGAAAAGGTTTTGTTGAGATGATTCTACCCTGTATGGGATAATGGTCAAGGCTCGAACTCATTTTGTGTACCATTGGGAATCAGAGAGCATTAGACAGCTTTTTTATCATAGCACAGGATTCTTTAGAAGTGCGTAACCATGATCACTCCAGGGATCGAGCCAGAAACCTTTAGTTCTCCTCGAACGGGTTTTTGCTTCAAAATTTATTTTGCCTTTCATCCTGTTAATTAATCGTTTCCTCTCGAATCATATGGTCTAATACCTCTGATAAAGTAAATAAGTTTACTCCTACGACACTTGCCTTGATAATTTTGTCAAAGTGTGACAATTGTTGCACATAAGCAAAAAAGTCAACAATGTTTATAACTGATTGATAATAAAAGCTAATGTATAACTCTATATATGTATATTTAGAAAAATCTAGCAATCTAGTAGTTGAAAGCTCAAAAGTTCACAATGCCCTCAAATTATATAGTCAGTTGTAAAGTAGTCCGTAGTTATTACAAAAATAATGCATATAATGAAGAGATGACTATTTTCATAAATTATCAGATTAAACCATGATTTATCCAAAAGTTTCGCAAAATATATATTGTAAGAACCATTTTTGAGGGCATTGTTTGTGTAAATCCCACAATATTATCTACATTTGTAATTTGTCCTTATTGATTCCTTCGGTTCTACATTTTGTTAGTCTGTTCGATTCCATTTGAGATGATAATATTTGTATTTTATAATAGATTCTATTCCTTTTGCCTTCACAGAGTTTCTGTTTCCTTCTAAACTGCATTTATGTTGTTTAAACTGCTACTTAGTAATGGCGACAGCCATATTGATCTGTTAATCCTTTGATTGTGTTGCTTGTTTGGACTGGAACTGTGCATTTTGATTGTGAATTGAAGCACACCTCCAGAATAGGAAACACTCTGTGTTATAAAGCAACCAAATATTATCTATCGAATGAATCTGATCTATCCAGGAGGAATAGAATAACATTTATTTGTGCTGTTGATTCGATTAATTGAACAATTGTTGATGGAACAACCGAGTGGTAATATTCGTTTAGGTTAATGATGTATATTGATATTTACGATGAATATTAGAACCGTTATTTACCCAAATCACTTGTTTTGAATTCAAATGGGCAAGACGCGTTTATAAACTACCTACACACTTATTCTTCAATCCAAGCCTCAGTTTGGATCCTACAATATTATTATTATTATTATTATATATTGTAATAATATTATAATCAGAACAATAATTGTATTCTCGAGTCGTTGATTTAGATTTATGTTAGCTGAATTGAAACAATCTGTAATATAGTCGTTATATCAGTGTGAATTATAAACTTTGAAACATGTGTACTAACTAAACGGATTGTAACTACTACTGTTTAAGTAATGTCAGATACAATAATCAACTGCAAATTCAAATTAACCAAATGGAACAATCAAAAAATTAAAACAATAAATAGTTGTTACTAAAATAGGACATATTTTATAATTACAGTTATGTAAACTTTCTATAGGTATGTCATATATATATATATATATATATATATATATATATATATATATATATGTCAAAATGTTCAAGCTACGGTCATATTTATGACAAATTGATCTACAACTGATTTCCTTTCATTTATATATACATATATATTTTTTATTTTCTTTGCAAAAAAGAAAAATTAAAACAAATCAAAATAATAATGACAATGAAACGAATAAAATTTACGTGAAAGGTATGAAGTTATCAGTCATAAAATAAAATGAATAGTAGAAAAATAAACTAATCATTTCACTATCCATAATTTCAACAACAACAAAATATATTCATCTAACATTTTTGGGAGAGACAATATATATATGTAGAAGAATAATAAAATTGGGATTGTTTTTGAAATAAAAATAATAATAATAATATAAAAAAGTGAACGATCACAATTATTGTTATTGTCATACATAAAATGATTAGTTGAATTGAATCAAATTGAATATCACCCATTGTCAAAACAATGTCAACAAAATGATCAATGATTTCCAGTCAGTCCACTAACAGATCTAGTTAGTTGGAATGCAATAGCTAATTAATCAAATGTTAAAACAGTTAAAACATTTATACAAACAACAACTTATACATTTCTTACCAGTCCTCCTGCACCAGAATCTGGATCATACGCTTTCAAGGTGAGAATTCGATAACCAATGGGGACATTTTCTGATATGGTTGTGGAATATTCATCAAGTGAAAATATCGGTGAAACATCATTGACATCCTTTCATATGAAGATGAAGAAATAGAGAAAACAATAACAACATTTTGTGTAATAAATATATAACCAAAGAATTGATAGTTTAACGTATATATAAAATGTGCATAATAACAAACTGGAAAGAATAACTATGTACATTCTTATCGAAGAAATCAATATTTTCCAATGGTAAGGATAATGATTGGAAAGAAAAAAATCAAGACAGAAGTTGATCACAGCAGGATTTCTTTCTAATCAACATTTCTCCACATCGCAACAATTTTCATGATTAGTATAGTTTTGTAACTAGAAATCAGTTTAGCAGCTAATAAAAATTCAACTCATAAAAAATACTGTTATACTTTACGTAATTATAGATTAATGTAAATTTTTTTAAAAAAAAACACAATAAAACAGCTAACTTACAGTTACATTAATGAGTAAATTTACACGAGCAGCAAAACCTGTTTGACTGTCGATAACTTCAATGAGTAATAAGTAGTGAGATGCAACTTCATAATCTAAACGACTACTGACTCGGACAATACCTAAAATAAGAAAAATAAAAATTTACTAAGTACCATAGAATTAGGTCTAACAGAATCAATGGAGAGAAACAAATGTGCATGCAATGACGAGCTATCAATGAAAGTTAACGAATACAATCAACTCCTTATTTAAAAAAATCTTTACACATCATATTTGAGACTAAGTAAAAATTAACATGAAGATAGTTTGTGTTGGTAGAAACATTCAAATTCTAGATAGAAAACATTCTATCAATTTAATCTAAGCCTTTGAATTTCCTGCATCGTATGAACAATAGAAAAGTGAATGATACTGTAATACTTCAACTGTAAATGTTGCATTTGATTTTAAGACTGAGCAGATGATAAGAGAAAGGGTTTAATTTAATTCCAAATAGAATAATGAAAATAACTTCATAGGAGGAAAAACGCTAAAACTTCAATAACCATATATATTTTTCAATTGGAGTTAAGAAGATTAGTGTTTTTTACACATTGAAATCATCAATAAATCATTGTTGGACCACAGTTCTAAATAAAAAAATAGTAGAATGTGCTAACTAGTGACTAGCTTCGTGAGGAAATTCTCAGAGTTCTAGTGAGAAGACGTGACCAGTGAAGTTTAACCCTGTTGGGTGTAGGCAGTAACTATCAACAAAGACAAATGGGTGAGGTCGCGCAAAATCTCTAGATAAATCGGATTTAAACATTAACACCGTTGGACGCCGGCCCAGTGATCCAGAGGTTAATCATTCGCGCGCGAGACCGAAAGTCCTGGGCTTGAAACCTGAGAGGTGCGGAAGTCGTGTATACGCACCGCCACTGATGAGTCCTGTACAAGGACGAAACGGCCGTCCAGTGCTTCTAGGTTTCTAATGATGGTCTAACAATGATTGGTTGATGATTTCAACTATATATACATACATATATATATATATATATATATATATATATATATATATATATATATATATCAGCTAGCACATGCATGCTAGTTCTGAAAAATATTAATATTCACAGACAACAAAATGATGAGACAAATAAGACAATTTTACATTTGCTTCTTCAGTCTAACAAATTAATGTACAGGAAGTAGTAGTAGTAGTAGTAGTAGAGCAGTAATAGTAGAAAAAAAAATGAATTCGCCAGTTGAAATAGTTGCAGCAAAGACACAGACTAAAGTGGTCGTAAAAGACAGAGCTAAAGAGATGGCAGATCAGAACATAAGCCTTGTTTCTAGTTCATTTCGGAAATAAACAAACAATGAGGAATTCACACACAAAACAAAAAAGAGAGACTAATAGCTACTTGACCTATGAAAAGAAAATCATTTGGAATATAAACACATTATTATTACACTTATAGTCTGAATGACAGACAAATAATGACTGAAATATATGGAAAAAAAAGAAAGATGTATGGGCAAGAAAATTGAGAAAAAAACAAAAATAAACAAATACATTCATGTTAGCGCTATCAAGTTCTGTTCAACTATGTGATACACGGTAGTAACAGAACAGCTGGTACAAGGGACTCTTTCATCATTCATCTTCCTTTCACATATATACACATGGACACACACACACATTGCAGAATACGTGATGAATTAATTCAACCACGTATTATATTAACACTCAAGGCAATTTCGTATTTCTTTCTCAAAGCAGAAAAAGCTAATGCGATACAAACAGACCATAGTAATTTTTTTTTTAAAGCGAATTCATGAAACAATGAGTAAACAAAGAAGAAAAAGAAAAGTAAAATATGTACAATGTGTTCATCAGCAAGACAACAACAACAACTACTACAGAAAGCACACTACACTAGTTATCGGCCTCATTTTTTTCAATCCTAACAACTGAAAATAACATTTATGTATATATTTCAAAAGAAGGAAACTACACAAATTCTAATCATTGAACTACTTGTTAACAACAATAATAAATAATAATAAGAAAACAACAGCCACAATGAATGATCGCAGTATGAGAGAATGGAATGAACGGTAAGACATGTTATTCATACAATTGAAAGTTAAGTAAACTGTTACATTGTAGTACAAAAAAACAATAGATACTACCACATTTTTGTTTTTAAACATAAATTTAACATGACTATTCTCGTCAGAAAGAGGGAATGTTTGAGGAAAAAATGGACCACAACAGTTTATATACAACATAAAGATAAAATAACATTGTTTCACTGAAAGACAAAAACAATTTTTTTTTTAAAAAAAAAGTAAACACAACACAAACTAGCAAGAAGAAGAAAATGGAATTCTCTTTTTTTTACCGATGTGAAGAAGTTCACTTACATGTACCATTGTTATTATGATACACTAAGAAATATTTTTTAAAAAAGATAATTAGTTAATATAGAAAAAAAAAAGACAAACACATATATATTCACTGATGAATAATGTTTACAAACAATGTTGTAAACATTTTTTCTTAAAAAACAACAACGTAAGAAAATTTAGGCGTTGATGATTTTGCTCGCGCTAGTGATGGATGATTTTAAATTTCTAGTAAGAAACCAAAACGTGTCTGCAGAGTTAAGTAAAAAAAAGACAACAACTTACCGAATATAATTCGATGAAAACTGAACTGCATCAAACATTAACAAATACACCAAAAAAGAATTATAAACAAGGAAAATCAAACTTAGAAACAATTAAACTCTGGGTCCTATATAAAAAGGAATCTTACAAGTTAACAGGTCTTTATCAACTTAAATAATCATAAGCTATTTATGGCATAAAACACAATTTGATTTGACTTTAAAATGAGAAAAGTTGACTGATCAGTATGTTAGTTTTCTTATTTCTTTTTTAGACAGTTAGAAGCAAAATCACAAGTAGATTAATCAATTATTTCTTATATTACATTCGGTTTCTTCTTCAATTACTACTCAGTAATCATTCGCATAAACTAGAAAACTTTTACTGGGATCTCATCGACACTAAAGCAGTTAGTTGACTAATTTCCGTTAGATATAAAATTTGACAAACATAGATCATACAAGTGAATGAGGGTTAGAATAAAAGTTGTGAGTGAAAAAAAATGGTGAAAGAAAACGAGGAAAAGAGATGAAGAACCGTTATGCTCGTCACTTGATATGATCGAAACTATTACGTGTTCACCTTAGTCTGTAAACGAGAACGAGACAATCATTCAGTAACACGATAAGCTACTTTGATCCATTACCCCAACTAACTGAAGAAAAAGTCTTGATATGGCATAGAAAGTGTATTCTACGAGCATCCACAAAATATAATAATCTCAAGCTCACAAATCGCGTTTATTTATACATCATAGAAACGTCCTCGGGAGAGTCACAAAAACAGCAAACTAAAACAACACATCAACCAAACACAGCCAAGGATTTTCCTGGTGGGAAATATGATCTCAAGGTCAACTGATCAGCCCATGAATAAAATCCAAAATTAACACCTCTATCAAGTGAGTTTCGGGGATCTAACTTCCACAACAAGAACATACGATTAGGCCTTCCTTCGTAATATTATTTTTTATAAAGAACATTACCGAAAGAAGTTCTCTTATGGGATAACTAGAAATGTAATGAGTAATAAAGTTAGAGCGTTGGAATTCCTTCAAACATTGACTCATTATTAATGTCCGAAAAACAATAATGCTACAGTCTTCCACGGTGAATTATAAAGAATCAGAAAAACAAGAACCAACTTGTTTTAGCTTTAAGTAAAACATAAATGAATGTACGAACGGAAATGGCTAAACTTCAACTGCATACCTTGAATGAAAAAGAAAGGCGTTATTTAATTGCTGAAAGTAGTGTAAGTAAAGAGAATGCTTTGACCAGTAGTTCACAAGTACAATCAAATTAATGACTATGACTTCCTAATATTTTTGTTACAATCATGTACAAGAGGTTAGATGGATCTTCACGGTAGTGAACAAGATAACAAAAAAAGTCAAACAATGATTGTGACAAAGTACTTTAACAAAAGAACGTTACAAATTAATCTTTCCTCTTGAGGTTGTCTTAACAGTAATTATTTAGGTGAAAAAAAATATTACTTTTGCATATATGATAGCTGAGCTGAATGTAACCAGTTAAACTGATACAGATTCAAATCTTCGTTCGTTGATTTTTGATAAATCTCACTGCTGCGAAGACATTAGAACAGCTACGGGAACGCACGACATCGGTACTACAACGCATCTGTGACAACGGTTTCCGGTTACGCCCAGAGAAATGTCAGTTTTTATTGCAGTCGGTAAAGTATTTAGGATTCATCTTTGGTGGTCACTAGGTATGCTTGAAACTATTACGGGTTCACCTTGGTCGATAAACGCGAACGAGACAATGAACCAGCGTCCAGGTAGGCTACCCTGATCCGATGACTAACCAAAAAGTCTTGATATAGCGTAGAAAGTATATTCTACAACACCTAGCAATCGCAATACAATCAAGCACACAACTCTCGTTTATTTATTCATCATAGGGACGTCCTTGGGACAGTCACAAAAATAGCACACTAAAATACACAGCAGCCAATCTTAGCCAAGGGTTTTCCTGGTGGGAAATAAAATCTCAAGGTCAAACAATCACACGTGAAATCCAATATAAGGCATTTATCAAGCGAGTTCTGGGGATCTAACCTCCCCAACAAATAAGTACAAGTTCATGTACTCAGATTTAAACCATAAAATTAATGTATTGGTTATTGAGACTTTTTGAACTTCTATATATCTAAGTAATAATGAAGTAGAAATCGGCAACTTATCAACTGGAAAAACCAAATGTTCTAATCATTAATCTATTTATCATTTATCAATTCATACATTATTCATAACTAAAATTTCAGAAAAAAAAACATTCCCTTATCTATTTGCTCATCAAATATTCATGGTATATTCGGCTGGCAAAATCTAACATACATTTAATACCAGAAACACTCCTACTTATATGCATAACATGTTTCATACTCCAAAATATGAAACCATCAAAATCATTCACTTGAGCTGCAAATCTTATTC